TTTGTTTCATATGATGCTGCAGTGACGTCTGTGTTTATGTTAATTTAAGCTGTCTCATTTATTTCATGTTGCAATTTTAAGTTATACAAGTGCAGCAGAGATGACTAGACACCAAAATGTAGTATCTGTATATGAAGTAAGATCATAGTCGTGATAACAATAAATAATAATAATAATGATTAATGCATCGCAATAAAACAAAAGTAGTGCTCATACATAGTGTAAGTAAAGTGATTGATTTACCTGAGATTTGTAAAATATCCATAAAGTAGAGCCAGTAAACCACAGACTTAAATCAAGAGTAGTAAAAACTGTGATTTTAAATCAAATTAATAATGATTTGATTTTAATCTTGCAATATTGACCATTACATTAACAACTGAAATGTTGAATTATCCTGATAACATCACTGTCCATATCACAGAGCTTTAGTGCCGAATAGGTTACAGGACAGTTGAGCCGAACACTTTACAACACATTATTATGGATCCCTTTTGCCTCCAGCTACGAAAAGGTTTCTTTTCCTGACCTCAGCGTTTTAATAATCACTATGAGATACGTTGAATATTTCTGTGAGTGCTCTGTGAAACAATAGAATTGAACAATGTCAGGACAGATGATGCAGGTATCAGGCCTTGTAAGTGAAAGAGCTTCACATTGAAGATAAACTGGTTCCAACCATGTTCAGTTGGTTCTGATCTAAGAACCTTTATCTATTTATAATTACCTACTTTTTAAAACATGCATATACAATTGTAATGGTGCCTATTCCATGTCCTTCTAACGCTCACTGACTTGTTCCTGTGGACACTTTTTGCAGCGTGCCTCACCTCCAGCTGAGGAGGACATGGATGAGAACAGGCTTCTGGGATATGACTGACGGCTGCTCCCAGCCAACCAGAGCGGGGATGCTGCGAGCAGCTCGCCCGCTTCTCTCACGTCATTGGCTGTTGTCCGGAGAGTCAGACTTTGCTCTGATATTAATGACTGCTGAGGAGACGGCGGCGCATCTATGTGGTCCGCCTGACACTTGATCGAGGGGGAGAGAGATGCGCCGTGAACAGCCGCTGTGAAGACGGGAACGGGGAAGGGCACAGGGAACACATGCGTCTTCTCTGCGCGCTCTCGCCACGCTGATTTTTTTGGGACTTCACCCTCCTGCAGAAGCCGTGTGTGTGTGAGTGTGTGTGTGTGTTTGTCTGTGGAGGAGAGTCCACAACTGATTCCTCATCGGCTGCGCGAGGAGAAGAGGACCACACATTGTTGACTGGCTTTACGTTGAGCGCTGTGACTCTCTCGTCATTGGAGCGGCGCACTTGATGGGAATATAGACAACACGCACCGATCCGAGGACTATGACGCTTAAATCGGGTAAGTTTACTCTGTTAACTCCTCCGATAGGTTTCTGTCATTTCATACATATCGCGTGTTATATCGCAAATTGTGTCTGCGCCACGCATTTGGCAAGTTAATGAAAAACGCCAGGTTTCGGCGATCTTTGGATGTTGTGACCGCACATACTGTCTTTTAACCTGAATGAATACACCGTCGAGCTTCACCAATACCAAGCACTTGTGAGGGATTACAGATTTTGGGGAAAAGATTGAAGATTAATTATGCGGATGATTAGCCTCGAACCTCTCGCTTGACGTGCAGATGCGCTTTTGCGCAACTATGCAGGATGCGCCTCAAAGAGACCGGATCCATGATGGAGTGCGTTCAGGGTAAAACAGCCAAATTAATTAAGACAATTCCGTGTGTGTGTGTGTGTGTGTGTGTGTGTGTGTGTGTGTGTGTGTGTGTGTGTGTGTGTGTGTGTGTGTGTGTGTGTGTGTGTGTGTAGTGATGGACTGGCAGTTTCGTGTCCCCCGGTCCTGCTTAGTGAGCGCGCACCAGACACGTCTCGAACAAATCCACCACCTTCCCTCTCGCCTCAAACCTTCCTGTTGCAAACACACAACTCGTCACCTACACATCCCAATAAAGTGCGTTGGCACATCATCGGCCTGTAACACACAACACAATCACACTCACTATTAAACAGTGAATGGAAGAGAGTCTGATTCCTGAAACCACATCGGCACGTTGCATCCAGCCTCTGCGTAATTATGAAAGCTAGAGGCTGAGGCATCTACGAGCGCAGTCACCACCATCACACCACCTGCCTGTACACCCACACATCCAGGATCGTGTAATGTGTGTATTTATTTAAATATTAAGGCAGAGAGAGAGAGAGAGAGAGAGAGAGAGAGAGAAGGTATTCATAATCCCATAACTGCAGTGGGGCGTCTCTCTACCCTCTCTCTCTCTCTCTCCCTCCCATTTTATCTCCCTCCTCCTCTCTCCCTTCTCTCTGTCCAAAATGTCCAGCAAATGTATTAATCATGAATATTTCAAAAGGCAGATATGCAGATAATGGCTGATAATGACAAATGTGATTTTCACCGAGGGGGCTATTGAACCGGACTGTTGTAATCTCCTCTGTTTGCATGTGTGTGTCCACTCGCTTGTTCCCCGATGATGGATACAATAGATTTTGGCCTCCTCAGTGTGTGAATGACTCACCCACAGCAGCTGCTCAATATGAAACACACAGTCAAATGCCACACGAGAGCCATCATGTCCTTCCTCCCATCCATCAGTCACCGTGCGGACAGCCGAGAGAAGCCCGGCCTCCACACCGTGGCGTGTTCCCACTTTGAATTATTTGACTACCTGCTTATTGAGCCAAGGACATTTGCAGCTTCTTCTAGTACTCAGCCACCAGCTTCTCAAAAGCTAACGTGCAGTTGAGGTTCAATGTCATAGCTCCAAACAAAGAAGCTCAAACCTAAGTAAATGCCGTCATAACACACTTTGCCAGGCTGCCGCCGCCACCCCCATGCTGACAGGAAGAATCAAAACAAAGCACCAGTGGCTTTCTCCATTAATTTGGGCACATTTGTTCAAAACAAATCAATATTACATGTCCACAAGTCACACGCTTAAAGTGAGTGGCTTTGCGAATTGCCTATTGATCTGCGTGTGAAACGGTAAGAAGTGTGGTGCTGGTGAGGTGGGGGTGAGGGGGTTATTGTGCCTGCAGTGGCCTTGTGGAGGCTCAGAGACCATGACAGGCAGCACAGCGTGGGTGTTCCTATATTAATTTCTCTATAGGCAGAGGGCAGCAGGTTCCTGTGAGGTGAAGGGATATGTGGGTGGCGAACACTGCTGCCGCTGGTTCAAAGCCGGGAAGGTAACGATTGCGCCATCAAAACTGAATTAATCTCAAGATTATTTTACCCCTCCCTTAATAGTGGTAACAAGATGCCCAAGGATCTATGGGGACTCCTGAGTGAAATACATGTAAACATATTCACAAGACGGCTGCAGGGGATCAGTCTGTGCAGCCAAGCATGGGCTCTCTGATAGCATCCTGCTCCCAAACAAACACAGGCATCCATTAAAATGGAATAAGCGCAGACAGAGGGCAGAGGGATTGAGGGGTGGGGGTTGCATGTTTTTTTTTGGATGTAGTCGATGGACTGTAGCCGAGCCCGAATTACATCAAAAGACACAGAGACAGAAAGAAGGGACACACAAAAACTGAGGAAGATGGCAGCATCCATGACATTTTGGTGTTTCCAATTTTCCAAAATGGGACGTGACACTTGTTTGACACACAATCCTAAACTGGGTGAGTAAAATGTTTCAAGCCACAGAACCACAAGAACAAAGACCTATACAAAAACTGACCATCTTTAATAGATCTGTCAAGTATAAAACATTCTGATGACAAATAAAAGGCCATTAATTGCTTATAAGTCTCCTATTCTGCAGATTCATATCAGAGATGGACGTGATGAGCACAAATGCCCATATTGCAGTTTCAAACATGAGCAGAGAAGAAGGACAGGACATCTAAGGGCTGCTGCTGTGCCGCCCATCTGCTCTGCATTCAGACTGATACATATAGGCCCTCTGAGCGCTAATGAAAAGCTCGGTGAATGAGTGATGCTGCATCAGGAGGCAAAACCAAAAAAATGCACGCACTGATGAAACTGCAGTGACTCATGCATGGCAACACATACACACACACACATATATATATACATACATACTGTAAAAACATGCATGCTTATACACATGTATGGAAATATGCATAAAAAAGCACATACAAAGCACTAGCTGCCCCCAAATCAGCTCATCATTGTAGTGTCGAGCCTCTGAAAATGTGTGGTGCCATCGTGCCTTTTGGAAAAGCGAAAATTCTTTCATGTGTTTCAGCTGAGGAAGAGGAGCAGAGAATGAAAAGAGAAAAGAGAAAGCCCATATCAAACCCCATGAAATCATAATAAAGAGGTCCGAGCCAGCGATAAATGCATTTCAGTGGCATATAATGATTGATTCTGTCTACCGTAGGAGCTTATTCCCTGCAGGCTTGTGGCCCCTTGACCAGCCATATATTATTCATATAAATATAGATAGCTGCGCATCTTAGGCAGCACACATGCCACATTTGCACCTGCAGATTCAATTTGGCTCTGACTTTGAGGGATATGCCGCTGGCTCCGTTCCCCCTGCCTGCACCCCCACCACCCTCATCCTCACACCTCCCCGCTTTCATTTTGGCTAGCAGCTATACATGGAACATTATGCAGATTTTTTTTGTCAAGAGTGAGTGTGATTATGTTGAGGGAGAAATGAGTGTCGGAATGTTCGCTACGCCTTTGACCTTATCAGCAGCAGCCTTAAGCTGGATACCTTGTCTTAATTTTAATAGATGCAGCACCATGCGAATTAGACAGGGAGACCTAGCTGCGCTCTCTGTCTCTGTGTGGTGCGTTGTGCATGCATTATGCCAACGAGCGGTTGCATGTTTGTTTTTTCATGTTCTCTGTGAGATCACTGTTGGCTAAATGACATGTGCAGGCCTGTGTATGCAAATGCTAGAATCTTTCTGTGTGTTTGCATTTTCTCTGTGTGTGTGTGTGTGTGTGTGTGTGTGTACTCACGGGTGCAGGTGGGCGTGCAGTAGTGTTCGATAGTGCAGCATGTATGTTCCCCTCACTCAGCACAAGGACACATCTTGTCCGGAAAAGAGCTGAAAAACCAGAGTTGAGGGTTCTGTGGTTAATTTGGAACATTGATTTTACATTAACAGTTGACTCTCCACTGATTCATGGCCATACAAGTGCGGATGTAAGGGGGAAAGGTTTCCATCTGCCCCCCACACCCGCCTGAACAAACGCGGATGCACGTACGTACTGCAAGCTTCATTATGCATACACGCTGCATAAAAGGTTCCCTTTAATGGACTCTCCCTTACCTTGGAGAAAGTATAATAGTAAATCAATGAGGTGAAGGACAGAGGGAGGGACAGTAAAGGCTTCCACCCATGAAGGGGCTTACCCAGAATGCCTGACAGGAGCTGCTAGGTTAAGTTACGGTGGAGTTACAGTTCATGTCAACAGTTCCAGTGTTCACCGGAAATGTTTCTCTGGTGTTGACCGGAATTTCACATCATGAGCAGTGACCTCTACAAGAAGCTTAGCAACGTAAAAATGTTTTTAGCTTTGTGACAATTACATTTTTCCATAGAAATCCATGTATTTTTAACAGTTTATTTATATTAAGAAATAGGAGTATTTTCTGACCCCATAAAGACATTTCTATTGAAGAAAATAGAGATATGTATTTGCCACTTTTTGCAATGTTGTAAAGCAACTGAAGAAATCAAACAAAACATGTGATGTCTTATTTTTCCCTATGTAAACAGACAAGATATGTGAAGGTCACAGACGTTGAACTGTAAATTAAATGTGGATGAATGAAGGGTTTTACAAAAAACAAAAATATGGGCCAAAAAAGTCATACACTGAACAAAGAAAATGAATAGTTAAATTAAATTTTTATTCACAAATTACAAAGTTTGTTCAACTTAAAGTGAATCAACTTGTTGTAATTTTTCTAAGTTGGTCGGACAATTTTCTTTTCTCAGTGTAAGGCCTAAATGTTGGTAATTAGTCAATTGGTGTTGCAGTCGGACAGACATGTAGATAGACATGTAGATGTAGACAGATTTGGCACAGTAGGGGTGACAGGTATTGAGAAGGCAATTAGGCTGACAGCAAACAAACGACAGGACAGTAAGATGCCCAGAAAGAGAGATAAGGACCTGAATATGCATGGAGACAAAATTAAATTGTCTTGCAATTGAAATTAAACTCCATTGTCCACTGCCCGGGTGGATTGCGACGCTAATAGAGAACATAAGGATAAATGTTCGCCATAGGGGTTTGAAGTGTGGAGAAAAATGTGAGAGGGCAGGATGAAAAGGACAGGATTTATAAAAAGAGATGTGGGGGCTGCAATATCATGAGACAAAAGAATGTGCACAGGGGAGAGAGAAAGAGAGAGAGGGAGAGAGAGAGGGGGGTGACTTGTAGAAGAGAGCCTTGGGAGGCTTATTACCAGTGGATCAAAATTCCCACTGAACCATTTTTACAATACACAGGCTATTCTCCTGAAAGACGAGGCAATCCGGCTGCGCCCTACTTTCCACTTACGTCTGACCTTTATGTCTTCCGCCCAGTTTTACCACAGCGAGTGTAATGTCTACCTCTTAGCAGATGCAATACTGCCTTGTTACTGCTTAAACCGTGCAGGCCTCATAATCATCTCCCCGAGGGCCAATATGCTCCCAACAAAACCCTTTATCTCGACTTATTCCACAGCATATATCTCACAAATTTCCCCTTTTTATGCTCGCCATAACCCCAACAGAACATATGCTTTGTATAATAGATGATTTCATTTTTACATGAACCATAGGTCAACTTGACACATCGCGGGGCATTGATGAGGACCCAACCTGCAGCAAAGTAATCATCTCAAGGTTCCCACTCTGCAAAAAACCTGTCCGAGCCCTGTGAAGCGAGGTGGAGGATTTATACCTCATTTCAATAAACAGCATAAAACAAACAGTGCTGCCCGGCCGTTTGGCTGCCCGGCCGATTTGAGTCAGGCCTGCCTGAATTAGCAGCGCCAGGACCAACACTCCGTGCCCCAACTGTGCACACTCATTAATTTAAAGTGGTCATATCTCACTGGTCTCTAATCAAACTGTATTTGTGCCATTACTGTCCGGAACAGCCACTGTGTTAGTATAATGGAGGGGGGGTCCGGTGGGAAAGTGAGTACAAGGTGTTGCCAAGAACAGAATGGAAAAGCTTTTCACCTTGACAGTGACTGAACATCTTAAATTTATCCTCATCCCTGCTCAGGTATATCATGATTAGTACAGGCGCCATTTCCTGAGAGCAAACTATCTGTATATTGCACATTTTGGACATAGAAGTCAAGAAATCCGCTCAACGCAAAAAGAGTATGTGCAAAATGAACAATACGGAACAAAAGGAGAAAGGTCTTCAGGTTTTTTACGTAGCGGAAAACAGTGTAAATGAGCAGGAGAGATTCCAAGGTATCCAGTGAAGTCAAAAGTCGTACTAATAAAAGGGAAATCAGTGAGTAATGTGGACTAAAGGCATCCCGGTTTATAATGATGATGCAATGATACTGTCATTTCTGTGCTGCTTCCCAGTCGCAGTAAGTCTACAAACATTCATAATATAGTTACTCTCAACAGTTGATGCTGATGCAAAGACACAGCCGTATATATTTTCTATGAAAATTTGCATGACGCTGGCCCGGGGTACAGATAAGTGGCTATAATGAATATGTTTTATAAGAGCTATGGATTAAATAAGTTAGCGCAATTTGCCATAGGTCATAGGTTGTATTGACAAACCCGCAGATATTAATCAGAGCCAAGCTGCTATATTGGCCAATAATAGCCTGCTGCAGAGACTGTATATCAATCACAGTGTCTCTATCACATTGATTGCCGAGCAGAAAGCACTGACAAGTTGATTATTCATTGATTATTGATGATTCAACTGTAACATGTCCTGCTTAATACGTTTCTCGGTTGTGAAGACAAATCACATAAATATAAAGGGATCTTTAGCTAGATCGTACAATGTTAGGCATTTGTTCAAAAAAATTATGATCGAATTATATCTTTTAAACTCACAAATCCAGTATTAGCGATTACCTGAATCTGTAGTTTTATTGCGAATTTCAGCACAAATAGCGATAATTTTTAGCTTCAGAAGATTTTAGTTTTTTTATCAAAATAGCTTTAAAAACCCAGTGTACAAGGCATGACTAGTACCACAGGGTACAGACAGCTAGCTGGTGAACATCATGGAGCATTTAGCCGCTTGTTTACCTTTTTATATTTATATTTTCTTCAATAGTTGAGGTGGAGACCAAAACGAAGGTAAAATGGTGAATATTGGAATTCCTTAGACACAACACCAAATAAATGCTAATGTTTCTTCATATCTCTTGCATGTGTCAATAGGCAGTTGTTTGTTCTACATATTCATTTAAAACATCAGAGTTACAGTTTGTGGTCTGTAGCCCCAGTGTCCTGGCAAAGGAATTAAAAAAACATTGCAGGTTTCACTAAACAAACTGAGTTGTATTTCACACACTTGAAACAAGCCAGATACCAGGGACTTGTTTGTTGTAATGTTCACGACCAGGATTAACACTGGTGAAAGTGAAAAGCCCATGGGTTAGACTGTCAGCCTGCTACTGTAATGGTGGTGCTTTGGAGGCTGTGGCTTGAATGATTCCCACAACCTCCCCTCTTTCCTCTGACACCTGGGAACTCGTGTTAGCTCCATGAGTGAACGCCTGACCTATAAAAGGCTTCCATTGGCTACCCGAGCAAATGTCAAAGCTTTGGCCTAATGTGTTAGTGCAGGTAGACATTAGGTTACTGGAGATCCCATGTCAAACCCTCTAGGTTGTATTACCAGCTGCTGATTATGTATCTCCCTAGTCAAGATTTCCAATGGTTTTTCACCCAAGCAGAGATTAAAAGCATCCATCTTGGAATTGTATTTGCTCCTGCCATATTAACCGCATTTCTCTTTGTTCAATGGTCACGTAGCCACTTAACGGCTAATAGACATAATTCATCGCTTGGGAGTCCCTGTATTCTCCCAATCTTTGCTGGGGATTTGGCTTCTTTTCAGCATCATAGCGTCACTATGGTTAATATTTCCTGCAAAGACAACATTCTTGGGGTCACCAGAGGTTAATGCACCACTACTGATACTTTGACAAGTTCAAGCCCTTCCTCTGGCAAGTCATTTTGTTCTCTAGATCTTCTCGTACCACTTCAATTACTGGCCACGGTGCAACGGATTGTGGGAAATTAGCTCTACATGGAAGCAGTGTGTGTGTGTGTGTGTGTGCCACAGCAGTCACGGTGCAAGGCCTCTTCACTGGGCTTCACACAATGCGAGCGTACAATACCAATTTACCTGTTCAACTGCCTGTAGATGATTAGGACAGTTCACTTAAAATGATGCAGTTAGGTGGGAAAGTATTCTTCACTATATCAACCTTTAGTTCAATGAAAGGGACCCTACACTGAACAAACTTAATTTCTCCTGGATAAAAAGCATTCTAAACGGAGACTGTGTCGTTGAAGGCTTTTAAGGTTTGCTGATGTGCTAACACTTCTTGATTTGGCATATTGAGCTCTGACGATGATCCACTTGTCATTAACATCCACCTTATCCGAAGGAGCGCATTGTACAAAACATTTCCAGAGTTGCTGTCTGGCTATGTCTCAATTGTATATATTACAAATTGTTTTCTTGCATAACCAAGTCATTGACTCAACACTATTCCACTCAGGCGGCAACGGGTGCCTGAAGACTCAGTACATTTGCCGCATGAGACACGATGCCATATAAGGTGTCACAACCAATTCAGTCAGCCTCTTCTTACAAATGACTCCTAATGTTTTCCTTCCACAGCCCTTCACTAGGACCTGAGATGACATCCAGGAGATTGGAAATTAAACCAGATTTACATAGATCTGTCTGCAACATTTATTTTTCACTTTAAAACATATGCAATATTTAACCTGCCCTGGCTCTTAGTGTCAGATATATGCAGCGATAAATGGCAGCAGAAGTTTGAAAGCAGCATTAATAATAATTTGACAACAAATCTCTC